TCTCTACACATACAGATACACACACACACACACACATATATACTGTATACATTTGGATCTTCCATAGCTTCAGAATACCTGTGCAGTGACAGCGCCCCCTGGTGCCTGTTGATAAATACTGCGGATAATGATTTTAGTTTACCTGGAGCGCAAACAAATGAAAGCCGAGAAACATACTGGGGGCAATTTATCAAATCTGAAGCAGCTGTGCATGGCAACCAATCAGCTTCTCTCTTCAGTTTGCTCCGGTAAGATTTGAAAATGAAACAGAGAAGCTGATTGGCTCCAGTTTAGATAAATTCCCCCCCCAGTGTATATTTATATTATCACTCTTGGCAGAGATGGGTCTATTGTTGGTAAACAAGACAATGAGGTCTGGAAGGATTACATCTCTCGCACGCATACATACGAGAGGCAATATAGACCGGAGCCAATTAACCTTCCAGCATGTCTTTGGAGTGCAGGAGGACACTGGAGCACCCGGGGGAAACCCATTCTAGCGCAGGGAGAACATAGAAGCTCCATGCTGGCCGGGATTCGAACCCGAGACCCCGGCTAACCACTGAGCCAACATGCTGCCTACACCTGACCATCACTCTACTCCATTCCAAAGCCATGACCAGTCACATGGAGTTGCCGCCCTTTGCGCCCATCACTCTGCTGGGAGGACTTTGTACGAGATTTTGGAAAGAAAGAAAAATTTTCCGATGAGTTAGAACTAATTTTTCTTTTTTTTGGTTTTCTTTTTCTTTTTATCTACACATTGTGAGACGGAGGGGGGTGCCGCCGGTTGCGCAGTCAGATCTTCCGGTTCTACGGTGACACTGCTGCTGGTGACGCGGATCCCGTACCAGCCGGCCCACCACTGCGTGTCCTTCCCGCCGTGTCTGAAGTATACATAGCGCACTCCCGGGCCGTAGTTCCTGAACGTGTGAGTCATCTGAGGGGGAAAGGAGACAAAGCAAACGGGTGAATGTTTTATATAGACCGGAGGAGGGGGGGAGGCAGCCTGGGAACTCCAGCTGTGATGGAACTACAAATTCCATCATGCCCATGCGAGTCATGCCTGTGCCTGTCATAGTCATGCAATGCCTCATGGGATTTGTGGTTCCACAACAACTCGAGTGCTGAGGTTGCCTACCCCTGATATAGACGTTCTCACACAAACAGATGCAGAATTGTTGGGATGTCTGAGTGCCGCACAAAAAGTGGCAAAGGGCCACAGGTTGGGCATCAGGGGCCTAGAGCCAGCAGATAAGAGTTCTAAACAAGCTGCAGTTGTAATGCAAAAAGTGCGCTTCTCCTTGAAACTCTGTATAAAGTAGTTGTTTAGCAAAGAGTGCCAGAAATGATGCAGCTAGTGCTAGGCTCTCTTCTAGTGCTGGGCTCTCTTCTAGTGCTGGGCTCTCTTCTAGTGCAGGGCTCTCTTCTAGTGACGGGCTCTCTTCTAGTGACGGGCTCTCTTCTAGTGATGGGGGTTTTTCTTTTGCCGGGCTCTCTTCTAGTGACGGGCTCTCTTCTAGTGACGGGCTCTCTTCTAGTGACGGGCTCTCTTCTAGTGACGGGCTCTCTTCTAGTGACGGGCTCTCTTCTAGTGACGGGCTCTCTTCTAGTGACGGGCTCTCTTCTAGTGACGGGCTCTCTTCTAGTGACGGGCTCTCTTCTAGTGACGGGCTCTCTTCTAGTGACGGGCTCTCTTCTAGTGACGGGCTCTCTTCTAGTGACGGGTTCTCTTCTAGTGACGGGCTCTCTTCTAGTGACGGGCTCTCTTCTAGTGACGGGCTCTCTTCTAGTGACGGGCTCTCTTCCAGTGACGGGCTCTCTTCCAGTGACGGGCTCTCTTCTAGTGACGGGCTCTCTTCTAGTGACGGGCTCTCTTCTAGTGACGGGCTCTCTTCTAGTGATGGACTTTCTAGTGCTGTGTGTTTTTCTATTGCCAGGCTTTCTTCTAGTGTTTGGATTTCTTTTAGCATTCTTTCCAAAAACGTATTTACATACACTATATTACCAAAAGTATTGGGACGCCTTTACACGCACATGAACTTTAATGGCCTCCAAGTCTTAGTCCGTAGGGTTCAGTATTGAGTTGGCTCCGCCCTTTGCCGCTATAACAGCTCCGCCTCTTCTGGGAAGGCGTCCACAAGGTCTAGGAGTGTGTCTATGGGAATGTTGGACCATTTGTGAGGTCAGGTACTGATGTTGGAGGAGAAGGCCGGGCTCGCAGTCTCCGCTCTAATTCATCCCAAAGGTGTTCTATGCTTTGCATTGCACTTGGTGATGTGCGGCTTGGATGCAGCTGCTCGGCCATGGAAACCCATTCCATGAAGCTCTCTACGCACTGTTGTTGTGCCAATCTGAAGGCCGCATGGAGTTTGGAGGTCTGTAGCTATTGACTCTGCAGACAGTTGGTAATATAGTGTATAATTTGTGCCACTGATAATGTCGGCCATATCTGTGCTACGAGCCAGCGGTTATGTATGCAACCCTCTTAACAATATTGGATGCAGTCGCTCCTTACCTCCTGCCACATGGCGTCGCTCCACTGTGGTATCAATACCGTCTCTGGGGAGAATTTATGGAGAACCCTCTTGCCTTCAGACAGCAGTTGCACCTCCACTTCATACTGACAGCCGCAGTCCGCTCTAGCTGCAAACCTGTGTGGATGTCCAGAGGAAATGACAGCACAAGTTAAAGGGTTTCCTGAGAGAAGAGCGTCTGCTATGACTTTATGGCGGTCATACCGCGGTCTGAAATTCCTGTGTACCCCCCACTATCAGCTGCCCATATACAGCACCCGGCCGCCCCCTCCCACCAGCCATGATCTGCCTGCATTGCATAGAGAAGCAGAGACCCAGTGATGACATCACAAGGTCGGTTTCGGCACAAGGGTCCCAAAGTTCACATTCGTATCTGTCAATGTATTTGTCTGTCCTTCTATACAGATTGTCATTTGGTCCCTTACATGTTATAAGCAGCGTGCCACTCACCAGTCTCTGACGGCGATATCTGGCTGGTCCCGGTCCATCAATTCCTTATTATATCCCGTCTTCCGGAGGTCTATCAGCTGAGACTTCAGACACATCCTACGGAACACCAACAACAGTCACTTGTCGGGATCTCATACAATCCGATTGTACAATATAAGTGACAGTTATTCCTCTCGACCCCCCAAATTCCACTTCTGCCGGAGAGTTTGGCCTGCTAGAGGAGGATGACGGGTAACAGACTTGCCGGCCGGATCTCCAGATGATACAATTATATTACAGAGGATCAGAAAGCCGTCGGCGTCACTGCTACCGACAGAGCGTATCACAGCCGCCATTTTTTTATTTTGACTGGAGTTCCACTTTAAAAGGAGAACTATGGGGTCAGGGCTTTTCCCCATAGTTCTCCTTAGGGTAACAGGAGGACACAAACTAGCGTCCTCCCGTTACCCTAAGCTCAGTATACCGAGAGCTGTAGCTGGCAGTATACTGAGACGCCGCAGCTGAAGCGGATCCTGACAATTGTGTCGAGATCCGCCCAGCTGCGTGAGTGACAGCTGGCTCGGCCTATCTAGAGGCAGAGCCAGCTGTACCCGCCCCCTCCCCCGTCCGTTCCGCCAGTCAGCGCTGGCAGATCGGAGCGGGGAGAGAGGAATCCAGCCCCTTCCCTGTCACGGCAGAGAGCCGTGACAGGATCGAGAAGTGAGCGAGCGCGGGTATGTGTTCGCTCACCTCCCGATCTACTGAGCCGACCTGTGACAGTCTCATTGTCACAGGTCGGCTAGAACTATGAGGTGAGTGAAAAGCACTCCCCCTCCCCCCTCATAGTTCACCTTTAACCCCTTCGTGACTGACGACATACAGTGTACGTCGCCAGCATCGGGGCTGTTTAAACAGACTCCCGGTGACTTTTGCCGCCGGGAGTCTGTTTAAACTTGTAGAGCCGACTGTCGGCTTTACAACAGAAGCGATCCTGGCGACTTACCTGTCGCCAGATCGCTTCTGCTTCCCGAAGAAGGGGCCGGCCCCCCCCCCGCCGGACACCCCCGCCGTGCTTCCCGGGCTCCGTTGCCACTCCTACGGGCCCGG